ATTATATGTTTTCAATCCGCATTTTTCCAATATTTCGCTCAGAATATATACTAAGATACCTCATTACACGTTTCTACCTTCTTCTGACTTTATTTTATTCCACAGAAGACACTTTAATTAACGTTAAGTTTAATTAACGCCTTGCATCTACTTTCATGTTGTCAGTAATCCTATTAGCCGTACAATAATCCTAATATTGAAAAGTAACATCGCTAGGTCTAAAGCTAATGCTCAACGAGATCAAGCGGAACGAAGAAGCAACGATTCGACGATGAAACGTGGTTAGTCCCCTCGCTCCCTAGAGAAAAAAGGGAACATACCGAGCAACCGGTCGTAAGAAAAGATCGCGGGGATACGAAACGTGAATATAACGCGTAATCGTAGTTATGAACGCATCCTGAATAACGTTAAATATTTAGATTATCGACCGGATCGATATCATCTCTTGAACCGGTGTTTCACGATCTTGCGTATTGGCGTATCGATCGGTTTCCTCTGGAAACAGGCTTTATTCTTCGATAAATTCCATATGAATTCAGTTTCATACTGTTAGGATATGTTTGACCATGATATTAGTAAATGAACTATAAACATTTTAGTGTAGCAGATTTTTTAATGATTTTTGATATTACATAATTATACGACATTGATACGAATTTCTTATTTTCACTAAAAAAAATTTTAATTCTGCACGTATTCACAATGCTCACTAATCGATTGGCTGATTTTTGACAAATGGGGAAGCTGCAGTCACCGTAGCATATTACATGTTACAGAATATACCGAGAGACGACTTCCTCTGTCATGCTTTACAGAGGTGTCGTGCCGAACTGACGGCTCCCGTCGTTGGAGGATCGACTTTATACAGCGGTGTGTGTCGCGCTGCTCTATGAACGCGAGCCTCTCAACCTTCGTCTCTTACCTGACAACGCTTTGTTTTCGAATAAGATATCGGATTTTATTGAAAAACATTTTATAAATTAATCTATGCCAGGTGCTGTATGACTAATTTGTAAAAATTGAATTGCAAAAATGGAATTGTTAAGACAAGTATATTCAGATAGAAAAATCAAAA